TTCTTCAATATTATATTGAAGAATAATATTGAAGAATATTCTTCAATATTGAAGAATATTCTTCAATATTGAAGAATATTCTTCAATATTGAAGAATATTCTTCAATATTGAAGAATATTATTCTTCAATATTGAAGAATATTATTCTTCAATATTGAAGAATAATATTCTTCAATATTGAAGAATATTCTTCAATATTGAAGAATATTCTTCAATATTATTCTTCAATATAATATTGAAGAATATTCTTCAATATTGAAGAATATTCTTCAATAGTTTTTTTTCAATATTGAAGAATATTCTTCAATATTGAAGAATATTCTTCAATATTAAAGAATATTCTTCAATATTGAAGAATATTCTTCAATATTGAAGAATAATATTGAAGAATATTCTCCAATATTGAAGAATAATATTGAAGAATATTCTCCAATATTGAAGAATAATATTGAAGAATAATATTGAAGAATAATATTGAAGAATATTCTTCAATATTGAAGAATATTCTTCAATATTGAAGATTAATATTTAAGAATATTCTTCAATATTATTATTATTGAAGAATAATATTGAAGAATATTCTTCAATATTGAAGAATATATTCTTCAATATTGAAGAATATTCTTCATATACTGAAGAATATTCTTCAGTACTGAAGAATATTCTTCAGTATTGAAGAATATTCTTCAGTATTGAAGAATATTCTTCAGTATTGAAGAATATTCTTCAATATTGAAGAATATTCTTCAATATTAGTATTGAAGAATAATATTGAAGAATATTCTTCAATTGAAGAATATTCTTCAATATGAAGAAATCAATACTGAAAAATATTCTTCAATACTGAAGAAATATTCTTCAATACTGAAGAATATTCTTCAATACTGAAGAATATTCTTCAATACTGAAGAATATTCTTCAATATTGAAATATTCTTCAATACTGAAGAATATTCTTCAATAGAATATTCTTCAATACTGAAGAATATTCTTCAATACTGAAGAATATTCTTCTTCAATATTGAAGAAGAATATTCTTCAATACTGAAGAATATTCTTGAAGAATATTCTTCAATACTGAAGAATATTCTTCAATATGAAGAATATTCTTCAATACTGAAGAATATTCTTCAATACTGAAGAATATTCTTCAATACTGAAGAATATTCTTCAATACTGAAGAATATTCTTCAATACTGAAGAATATTCTTCAGTACTGAAGAATATTCTTCAATACTGAAGAATATTCTTCAATACTGAAGAATATTCTTCAATACTGAAGAATATTCTTCAATACTGAAGAATATTCTTCAATATTGAATATTCTTCAATACTGAAGAATATTCTTCAATAGAATATTCTTCAATACTGAAGAATATTCTTCAATACTGAAGAATATTCTTCAATACTGAAGAATATTCTTCAATATTGAAGAATTCTTATTCTTCAATACTGAAGAATATTCTTCAATAGAATATTCTTCAATACTGAAGAATATTCTTCAATAGAATATTCTTCAATACTGAAGAATATTCTTCAATAGAATATTCTTCAATACTAAGAATATTCTTCAATACTGAAGAATATTCTTCAATATTGAAGAATATTCTTCAATAATATTCTTCAATATTGAAGAATATTCTTCAATATTGAAGAATATTCTTCAATATTGAAGAATATTCTTCAATATTGAAGAATATTCTTCAGTACTGAAGAATATTCTTCAGTACTGAAGAATATTCTTCAGTATTGAAGAATATTCTTCTTGAAGAATATTCTTCAGTACTGAAGAATATTCTTCAATATTGAAGAATATTCTTCAATATTGAAGATATTCTTCAATATTGAAGAATATTCTTCAATATTGAAGAATATTCTTCAGTACTGAAGAGTATTCTTCAATATTGAAGAATATTCTCCAATAAGAAGAATATTCTTCAATACTGAAGAATATTCTTCAGTACTGAAGAATATTCTTCAGTACTGAAGAATATTCTTCAATATTGAAGAATATTCTTCAGTACTGAAGAATATTCTTCAATACTGAAGAATATTCTTCAGTACTGAAGAATATGAAGATTAGAATAATATTGAAGAATATTCTTCAATATTGAAGAATATTCTTCAATATTGAAGAATATTATTCAGTATTGAAGAATATTCTTCAGTATTGAAGAATATTCTTCAGTATTGAAGAATATTCTTCAATATTGAAGAATATTCTTCAATATTGAAGAATATTCTTGAAGAATATTATTCTTCAATATTGAAGAATCAATATTGAAGAATATTCTTCAATATTGAAGAATATTATTCTTCAATATTGAATACTGAAGAATATTCTTCAATATTGAAGAATATTCTTCAATATTGAAGAATATTCTTCAATATTATGAAGAATATTCTTCAATATTGAAGAATATTCTTCAATATTGAAGAATATTCTTCAATATGAAGAATATTCTTCAATATTGAAGAATATTCTTCAATACTGAAGAATATTCTTCAATATTGAAGAATATTCTTCAATATTGAAGAATATTCTTCAATATTGAAGAATATTCTTCAATATTGAAGAATATTCTTCAATATTGAAGAATATTCTTCAATATTGAAGAATATTCTTCAATATTGAAGAATATTCTTCAATATTGGAGAATATTCTTCAATATTGAAGAATATTCTTCAATATTGGAGAATATTCTTCAATATTGAAGAATATTCTTCAATATTGGAGAATATTCTTCAATATTGAAGAATATTCTTCAATATTGGAGAATATTCTTTAATATTGAAGAATATTCTTCAATATTGAAGAATATTCTTCAATATTGAAGAATATTCTTCAATACTGAAGAATATTCTTCAGTATTGAAGAATATTCTTCAATATTGAAGAATATTCTATTGAAGAATATTCTTCAGTATTGAAGAATATTCTATTGAAGAATATTCTTATATTGAAGAATCTTCAATATTGAAGAATATTCTTCAATATTGAAGAATATTCTTCAATATATTCTTCAATATTGAAGAATATTCTTCAATATAATATTCTTCAATATTGAAGAATATTCTTCAATATTGAAGAATATTCTTCAATATTGAAGAATATTCTTCAATATTAAAGAATATTCTTCAATACTGAAGAATATTCTTCAATACTGAAGAATTCTTATTCTTCAGTATTGAAGAATATTCTTCAGTATTGAAGAATATTCTTCAGTATTGAAGAATATTCTTCTATTGAAGAATATTCTTCAGTATTGAAGAATATTCTTCAGTATTGAAGAATATTCTTCAGTATTGAAGATTATTCTATTGAAGAATATTCTTCAGTATTGAAGAATATCTTCTATTGAAGAATATTCTTCAGTATTGAAGAATATTCTTCAGTATTGAAGAATATTCTTCAGTATTGAAGAATATTCTATTGAAGAATATTCTTCAGTATTGAAGAATATTCTTCAGTACTGAAGAATATTCTTAAGTACTGAAGAATATTCTTCAGTATACTGAAGAATATTCTTCAGTACTGAAGAATATTCTATTGAAGAATATTCTTCAGTATTGAAGAATATTCTTGAATATTGAAGAATATTCTTCAGTATTGAAGAATATTCTATTGAAGAATATTCTTCAGTATTGAAGAATATTCTTCAATATTGAAGAATATTCTTCAGTACTGAAGAATATTCTTCAATACTGAAGAATATTCTTCTGAAGAATATTCTTCAATACTGAAGAATATTCTTCAATACTGAAGAATATTCTTCAATAATATTCTTCAATATTGAAGAATATTCTTCAATATTGAAGAATATTCTTCAATATTGTTCTTCAATATTGAAGAATTCAATATTGAAGAATAATATTCTTCAATAATATTCTTCAATATTGAAGAATATTCTTCAATATTGAAGAATATTCTTCAATATGAAGAATATTCTTCAATATTGAAGAATATTCTTCAATATTGAAGAATATTCTTCAATATTGAAGAATATTCTTCAATATTGAAGAATATTCTTCAATACTGAAGAATATTCTTCAATACTGAAGAATATTCTTCAATACTGAAGAATATTCTTCAATACTGAAGAATATTCTTCAATACTGAAGAATATTCTTCAGTACTGAAGAATATTCTTCAATACTGAAGAATATTCTTCAATACTGAAGAATATTCTTCAATACTGAAAAATATTCTTCAATACTGAAGAATATTCTTCAATACTGAAGAATATTCTTCAATACTGAAAAATATTCTTCAATACTGAAGAATATTCTTCAATACTGAAGAATATTCTTCAATACTGAAGAATATTCTTCAATACTGAAGAATATTCTTCAATACTGAAGAATATTCTTCAATACTGAAGAATATTCTTCAATACTGAAGAATATTCTTCAATACTGAAGAATATTCTTCAATACTGAAGAATATTCTTCAATACTGAAGAATATTCTTCAATACTGAAGAATATTCTTCAATACTGAAGAATATTCTTCAATACTGAAGAATATTCTTCAATACTGAAGAATATTCTTCAATACTGAAGAATATTCTTCAATACTGAAGAATATTCTTCAATACTGAAGAATATTCGTCAATACTGAAGAATATTCGTCAATACTGAAGAATATTCGTCAATACTGAAGAATATTCGTCAATATTGATGATTATTCGTCAATATTCTTTTTTATTAATATTTAATTTTTATTTCTATATTCATTTCATTATTATTAAAACATTGAATAGTAATGTTTTCCCCAACTATTTTGTAATATTAATGATTTTTCAATATATTATTTATACTTTACAAATGGCTCTTTCTTTTTCGACATACACTCTCACTAACGTCTTCAGGGATGGCTTTTCTATTTTCACACAACGTCCTATTTCCTTCAAACAAGGGTTATATAGAATTTACATACGTCTCATACATGACTACAAACAAGACAGAAGAGGTTGTTAAAAACAAATACACACAAAACAACCTTCAATTCAAGTATGTTTATTCAGACAATAATAATTACATATCAAGATGATAGAGTCATTTAGGGTACTTCCACTCACCTATACTTGCGGAACCTCAAGGAGCCACACAAATTCACTGACTGCAAATACACATTACAAGATTCATTTGTAATATAGTAAGCAAAGCATATAAATTTTACACTCTTGGGCCAAAATTCTTGTAGCTGCGATGTATACTGTCTATCATAATGATATCACACATCCATACAATTTGATGTGGGTACACTACTTATTGATAACTATACAAACTTAAATACCTTGACACTCGAAAGAACATTATGTATTAAAATTCAAGTATGTTCTTTGACAACAGTTCAAACAATATTATTCACTAAAACTAACGAGTACCTCAGGCTATTTCTACCAATTACCCAACAAATTCAATCCGTAAAATTACAACATTCCATTTTCACGTTAATACAGTACTATCTATGAGTATATTATTGTACATCAACGGCACTACATTTCAATCAATTAACGCTCAAAGATAATATTCTCACTACTTTCTTCCATGATTAATAATAACACTATCTTTTCCATGTCACTCACACTCTGGGAGATAACAGATCTTCTCACACACAGTCACTATTGTGCAAGTGACGAGACAGCAAACAGGTTACAAACCTCAAAGGTATTATTCATATCTATTTTCCATTGTGTTTTACTTTAACATTTGTTTCAACATTTGTCACTACACAACGTTCAACGCTAACACCACTTCAATTTTAATTTTCTCACCTTGGAACAAAACCTGCTCAGATTGCAGACTTATTTTTTGGATAATGCTAAATCATATTTTATTTGATTATATATTAATAACTAATTTTTTTTTTATTATTTACTATATGTATTACCTATTTTATTCAGTAACAATATTTGCTCATTAACAGCAATGATAATGACTTATTCACTAGTGCATAACAAAGTATTATGCAATCATTAGTATGATTATTCATTATATTTATAAACTACATTTTAATTACAATTCATAACTACATCTATATGTAGTCAATTAAACTTGCATTAATTTATTTACACTAATTACAATTCATCCGATTATTTCTTAGCTATCTGCAGGCTTATCAATTTGGGGGTTCCGCCCGAGCACCGCAAACCACGCGCGGAAACCACAACCCAGAAGGGCGAACGCCTCGGCTGCCCGCTGGAACTAGGAATGTAGGTCGAACTCATGGGTCCAGTTGTTTGTCCTCGGGCTCCATCCCTTTCCATTCTTCATCAATGGTGTACCTCGTGCGCCTTCCGTAGTCGGTTCTGGAAGTATTAAGGCAGTAAGAGTGGGCAGAAACGGCCATGCACTATCAACGTCACAGCCAACGAACCTACCCCTTAAGGCTACTGCTGGAATTCGTTTCTAACAGGAGGGGGACATTTCCGAAACCGAACTGCCCAACTGTCATTAATGCATAAAGCCAGGCTGATACCCTCTGGAGAAGTCTGAAAAGGATCACTGGCACAGGGGAAAGGAAGAGAAAAAGATCTCCCACGAAACTAGTCTCTAGCTAAGTAAGGTAACTACCAACCCGAGCAGAACTTTACCGACAAAAATAGGTGGGGGGGGGGGGGTCCACTTTCCGTATCGGCGTCAAGGCCACAAGTTAATCAACGGCCATCCATCTAGCAACCCATATTTATTTTTTAACTTTTAAATTTTAATATTATCAAACAACCAAACAATATATATTTATATGACCACTATGTATATATTATAAAATAATTCTATAAATATAACCTTATAACGAACACCTCTTAAGGCGCAACATGCTTCCGTCCACAGTGACAAATTATAACGAGGGTAACCGAGTCCGTTACACTGATCTCCACTCTATGTTGGCCTCCGAAACAATGTTACACCTCAATAGTTAACCTAAGAAACTGCCTTAACACGCGTCAATGAGTTTAGTCTCAGTGTCAATGACCATCTGCGACCAGCAGTAATCCAACAACTTAAACATCTCCCCATCTGAGGCAAAGTGACATGGACACCAGGAAGGCTAGCGATCCCTATTTGTAAAACGTCTCCATAAACCGCCGGCCGGGAAGCCCGCATATTTATACGACAAATATAAACATAATACCTGAATAACATCGCCACCTTAACTCATCACACGAAGAACGTTGGCTGCAGACCAGACCATGAACGCACTCACCTAAGACGCCAGTGGCTATAACTTTCATGGCTACATTGCCCACACAAACGTCTGGATAAACCAGCGGCCTGGGAACCACCAGTATCTTCCCGCCTACACCCAGCAGACAACACGTCGGATAACCAGCGGCCTGGGACGCCACACATGTCTGCATAAACCGGGAGCCTGCAGATTCTTTCGCCCTACACCGGCCAGACAAAACGACTAGAAACGTTTACTGGTACTGCTAAACGAAAATGGTACTCTCGACCTGTCAGTAATAACGTCATCACAAAGTCAACAATCACCACCTATCTCTAAAGCGGTAAGTAACATGACTTCCACTGAAACAATGCATGAGTACCAATACATTCCGAAAGGAACTAATCATAATATGAGTCCAAGATAAAATTAAAGCCAGAGCCATGAGGCCAAAATACAGCGTCTAGGACATCCTACATGACTTAGTTTAACTTGTAGGTGAAGCATAACTAATGTCAAACCACCAAAGAAACGTGCACCGTCACACTGCATACAATTATTTTTTATTTTCACGACATTTATGGAACATAAAATTCTATGAAAACTTAAAACGTACGGCCCGGAGGCCTGTGACACAGCAGCTACCCTAACCTACCTAACTTTACCTATTAACTTAAACGCGATAACCAATATTATCAACAAACATAACTGTAAACCAGTAATAACTAAATAAACCTCCAGCAAGACCCTGCATAATTTGCGGGAATACTTAGCTGATGTAACTAAACGTCAATGCAGGGCCAGTAAGCTTGAGGTAAAGGGGGGTGGGGGGGCCCTACTCCGCGCCTATCACACCCTACCTGAGTTAATTCATATTTGTAACTCGCCAACTACCACAACCTACGTTACTTCATCAATAACTAAATACAATAACCAACACTTTTAATAACTTAATAAAACATGCACGGGGGCAATGCATCAATTGTAATACATTCCAGAAAAACATATCCTACTTGCAAGCCCAAGGAAGGTAACAGCAATACACTTGGACCCGTGATGCGGGTCAAAGATAAATACATTACGGATACATATTTTGTCACCCATAACACATTGTAACAAACACAATATAACATTTCATATAGCCACCGTTTAGAGCAGGGTAAGTCAATTACAGTCAATGTTCTAACAATACATTCACGTCTCCTTTACAATTATATCTATTACCAATTTAGCTTAAGTTCTGTAACGTTCCCCATATATTAAAAACTTATTTGGTATTTCCTAGAATGCCAATCACATTTATATATACAAGAAGGTACATTGGCTTTGTTATAATACATAGCATGCTATTTACACTTCTAAGGCAATTAGTACGCGCAGCATTTCGGCCACATCCTTAATCTAAGATAATTTTAACTAGGTCAATTACACCGGATTTAATGCAATGATTGATACAAACAAAACGTGAGATTAGAAGGTACAGGTATATTAAACCACATTGGTATATTAAAGTTCCCATTCCATTGACACCTTCATTCGTCATTTATACTAACATTAATAGGCAACATACAGCAGTTTAAAACCCCATAACACAGCAATGATCACAATGGTCACTTTTTTCCATGGGGTACATTATTATAATATTGGGTAACTACATACAATGCTATTTTAAAGCAACAATGTAGAAAACAAGGAATATGCAATAACGTAACTTTTACTTTAAATATTTGGTACTTATCCTAAACCTATTATTCCTAATTAGGTACCTATTCTTCCTATTTACGTACCTCTTGGTGTAATCTCCCAACACAAATATTAGGAAATTAGGTACTTCTAGTTTCAATATTTACTTATGATTCCCTACAACTATCTATTCATTTATGATTCAACAATTACCTATTATTATTTCTCTACATCAACTATATATTTCCCCTTCCTGGACCGGACCACATATTTACTGCCCTCTGTAAGGACACGCCTTCTAGGCGACTCCCTCCTATTTATCTATTATATACATTCAACATTAATAACTATTCAAAACCCCCTGGATATCTAATAACCATCAAATTACACGCTCGACGATTCTGCACTATAAACATTTACAACAAATTGTCATTCGGTCGTACCTTCTATGGAACAGAAACTTGATCATTCAACAGCTGGAGGTTGTGTCCATACAGTAACTACACACGATGGTATCCACGTCTAGGGTCCTCAAGCGTGTCACCTGCGAAACTATATTGTATTCAGGATTCTGAATATTCATATACGATAATCATTAATTTTCACCATTACTATCTCAAATACACGGCCATGCACTGTTCCAAAAACAACACAGCTTGGGAGGGAGGGGGGGGGGGCCTCATGGTGCATGTCCCAAATCAAAATTGGCCCGAGTTATGAATCAAGCGCCAATCAACCTTCAAGACACTGTGGGGGGGGGGGGGGGGGGGGTTTATCAACTAAGCTTCATCTCTTATCTGGAAGCTGCGAGTGTGGCCTGTTCTTTGTTTATTTCAACATCTATACATGAAAACCGCGTACCACTCATATATACACACACCGAAGCTTGCACACGTTATGGTCACCTCCAGCCATTTACTTTATTTTATAATAAAACTGTTCCGACTAGTAAGGCTCGGTCTCATGACGTCTAATGCTCAAAGTACACCACATGATTATTTCACGATTTATAATATATTTAGTACTACTTGCTATTTAACACTTTCGCGCTCTCGGCGCTCAAAAAAAAACAATACCCCAGATGCTTTTGGCACTTCGCGCGCCTATGCGGTAAGACTGAAAAAGTGTACACTCTTTTTACTGTCCTGACAATAATTGAAGGCGCACGTATTTAAATTTGGTATCACTGTGTTCGCAATGAAATTGTCTATAAGAGCATACCTATAAAATGCCGCCCAAGCATAAGGGCTGTCAACACCAAATAAAAAACTATTCAGATCACTCGCCAAGAGCGCCAAACAGCAACAAAATGTTTCCACTCTCTTAATGGTTGCGAAGCCTACAGTTGTCCTACATCGCTAATTGTGGTATCATTGGAATCGCAATAAAATTCTCTACACGGACATATGCATATAAATATAGATTTAATGTCGTAGCACACCCAAAACAATGTGGGAAGTGGCCGAAGTGTTACCCGCGGCAGCATATCGGCGAAACTCGCTTTGAAAAGTGTATATTCAATTCACTGTCCTGACATTATTTGTCGATGTATGTATTTCATTTTTGTACCAATGTGCTCGCAATAGAATGTTCTATAAGAACATAAGTATTAAAGGTCACATAAGGATGCGTTCGACCGGCAACATATATAAAAACTACGTCGATTACACTCGTCGTGTCAATAATACAATTGTTTTACCACGATGATTCACTGCCACACCGTTTTCTTTTATAAGCTGTTCGGCTATTAGAAAAAACGGAAATTTCATGGCAAACATTTGTATACTATTCCCAAGTTGATCGGATAATAAATGGATTTTATACAAATATTTTTTCGATGGACTACAGGCGTCGTCTGTTATGCGGTGACGCATAAAAAACGGTGACGACTCATGGATAATCCTAAGCGCGAAAGTGTTAAGTTTTATCGACTACGTAACTAAATTCTTGGAGGAAGATGTGTTGAAATAAACATATCACACACCTGCAGGTCACAGCCTCTTCCATTACTCTGCAGTGTGGCGTTCCTTCCCCTCCACCAATGTTGCTTTCTTCACAAATAGATACATCACCATTGCTGTTTCGCCCAGCCCCCACCTCTCCACACGCTCATCTGCATGAAATATATTGAATAATATGCATCCATTTCACATTGACAACATTTCTTAAGGCCTACAACCATCTATGAATACTCTAGTCCAAACTCCTTACACAATTCTCTTCCCTGCGAAATCATTTCCTATAATATAATTCAACCTCTAACAATTTGTATATTACTTTCTGACATTTAACTCCCTTTAGATGAGGGAAAACTAGAATACATAGCCAAACATGTCTTGCACCTCGGACCAGTGCTAATTCTTTTCAATACCATCAAAGCGCAGCCATGACAATACCGTTCCCCACACTCAAAACACCATGTCGGGTATACCTACAATCAGAAGCTAAACAAGATATTTTCAATTATTCGGCCTCCGTGTTCCCGCATAATCATCCTCCCTTCCCCCAATAACCCTCTATGTTACACTTCTGGTTAGACAACCTTAACTGCCCAATAATAACCTACCAGTAGTAATTGGGGTACCTATATCACCACAGATTGCCTGATTATGTTCCAAGGAAAGGACACTATGTTCCTAGTACACAATTCTCCATTAACACTACAAAATCAAGTCCACACCAAATACTTCCTGCTACACAATGATAACCAACAGATCGTGGACCAATACCTGAAGCTCAACCATAACTTAAAAAAGTCACTTTACATGTATTTTCAATTTTGCCTCAACATACACTACTGGTGGAGCGCACGCTATCCCGCTCACTACACAATTACACCAATATCAACAACATAACCACCACCTACACACTCCCACGTGTACCGTCGCCACCCACCTACACTAAACAAGACAAATACTGTCACGAGGCTCACATCTGGAGTTGAAATTAATCACCCATTGCTAGCAAGTCAACCGGAACCTTCACATCCCATACACGAATAAATGATATTGTTGACCTGTATTTTTTTTTTACGAGCTCTTCCTCCTACGAAGGAGGTCGCGCTTATTGAATGCTGTTTATTTAACATTATAAACAAATTCACTTAATATTCTCGGTAACATTCAACATTTACTTATTGAAATGTTATCACCTATGTACGTCAAACCACTCTGGTAAATTTATGTCTACGGCCTTCGACGAGGACACGAACGCTACGTATTGTCAACGGTTCCCTCCCCTCATACCTAAAATTATGTACCCACGTAACCCGAACACTTTAAAGTGGGGGAGGGGGGGGGGCCACAACAGCACTAAATTTGGATCAAAGACTACACTACCCACACCGAGAGCGGCCAAACACTATCCACCGACTTATTCACTACTCTTAATCACCAGTTACCGCAAGCAACACCACCATCCTCCTTCAAGACTAGGAATTTAGACTTTGAGCAACGTTTAACACCACTTAATGTTAAGTGGTGTAACTCATAGATTTTCATATTTAAAACATAACTGATGGGGGTCCTGATATGGCTGTAGTAATGACTGCTCAAAGTTCAATGGCCAAAATTACGCTCCAAACTACGCTATTCCTAATACAATATTACTATGCCTAACTATTTCCAAAGTGCCGGATAGGCCCATCATACCTTGGTAACTCAAATACCACAACTGGAACATCTGCCACCAGCTTCTGCTCGGCAGGATATGACTGGAATCACCGCTCCTTCAAGACTGCTGTGGGAAAATTAAATACAATGTTAAAATACAGTACCTAAACATTTATAAATAGATTTCAGTACCGATTATGGGTCAGTACTAAAAATGTCCCTGAATATATCCACCCCCCAACAGGGGGTATATACGACAGCTAAAAATAATAGATTTTTGCCCCTATGTGCGTTTTGACGGTGTACAGAGTGACAGTGTAACCTAGGGGTCTGTCACCAAAGCGAACCCCAAAGGGTAACGGGCTACCAGCTAAGAGTAACATCACGCCCTAACACTAACTTGTACACCTCTACTCGGCTAATTCTAGGGGCAAAATAACGTTCCGTTGCGCCTGAATGAGCAGGTGGACTCAATAGCCAATCACGTTTCTCATTTGCAGTTGACGTCACATACTCAATAGCCAATCACGTTTCTCATTTTCAGTTGACGTCACATTGTCGCAACCTGTACGGTCATTCGTCGCCTCGACGTAATTGGATACCCGAGTAGTTAATGAGATTTATTTTTGGAAAATGAAATATATACAATAAAATGTATACACAAACTATAAGAAACATACATGTACCAAATGAATGAGATTTTATTCAGTTTTATATAATTTACCTATTTTAAATTATCTGTTAGATTACGCACCTGCCAGAAACGCTGCGCGTACTAGCGGCTTTACAAGAGTGTAATTACTGTATTATGCTATGTATTCCCACAAACACAATGTACCTTCTTGTATATAATTAAATAATTAATTACATACATTTAATGTTTTACATTACACTCACAAATGATGATTTTCCAATACTTATTATTATATATATTATTATACTTTTTAAATAATAACATTAATTATTCAAGCTGTATGTACAGTACAACACAGTACAGCATAGTACAGTATCGTACAGTACACTTCCGTACGCTACGATGCACTACAGTATACTGAAGAATATTCTTCAATACTGAAGAATATTCTTCAATAGAATATTCTTCAATACTGAAGAATATTCTTCAATACTGGAAGAATATTCTTCAATAGAATATTCTTCAATACTGAAGAATATTCTTCAATAGAATATTCTTCAATACTGAAGAATATTCTTCAATACTGAAGAATATTCTTCAGTACTGAAGAATATTCTTCAATACTGAAGAATATTCTTCAGTACTGAAGAATATTCTTCAATACTGAAGAATATTCTTCAGTACTGAAGAATATTCTTCAGTACTGAAGAATATTCTTCAGTACTGAAGAATATTCTTCAGTACTGAATATTCTTCAGTACTGAAGAATATTCTTCAGTACTGAAGAATATTCTTCAGTACTGAAGAATATTCTTCAGTACTGAAGAATATTCTTCAATACTGAAGAATATTCTTCAATAGAATATTCTTCAATAGAATATTCTTCAATACTGAAGAATATTCTTCAATACTGAAGAATATTCTTCAATACTGAAGAATATTCTTCAGTACTGAAGAATATTCTTCAATACTGAAGAATATTCTTCAGTACTGAAGAATATTCTTCAGTACTGAAGAATATTCTTCAGTACTGAAGAATATTCTTCAGTACTGAAGAATATTCTTCAGTACTGAAGAATATTCTTCAGTACTGAAGAATATTCTTCAGTACTGAAGAATATTCTTCAGTACTGAAGAATATTCTTCAGTACTGAAGAATATTCTTCAGTACTGAAGAATATTCTTCAGTATTGAAGAATATTCTTCAGTACTGAAGAATATTCTTCAGTATTGAAGAATATTCTTCAGTACTGAAGAATATTCTTCAATACTGAAGAATATTCTTCAATACTGAAGAATATTCTTCAATAGAATATTCTTCAATACTGAAGAATATTCTTCAATAGAATATTCTTCAATACTGAAGAATATTCTTCAATACTGAAGAATATTCTTCAGTACTGAAGAATATTCTTCAATACTGAAGAATATTCTTCAGTACTGAAGAATATTCTTCAATACTGAAGAATATTCTTCAGTACTGAAGAATATTCTTCAGTACTGAAGAATATTCTTCAGTACTGAAGAATATTCTTCAGTACTGAAGAATATTCTTCAGTACTGAAGAATATTCTTCAGTACTGAAGAATATTCTTCAGTACTGAAGAATATTCTTCAATACTGAAGAATATTCTTCAATACTGAAGAATATTCTTCAGTATGAAGAATATTCTTCAGTATAGAATATTCTTCAATACTGAAGAATATTCTTCAATACTGAAGAATATTCTTCAATACTGAAGAATATTCTTCAATACTGAAGAATATTCTTCAATACTGAAGAATATTCTTCAGTACTGAAGAATATTCTTCAGTACTGAAGAATATTCTTCAGTACTGAAGAATATTCTTCAGTACTGAAGAATATTCTTCAGTACTGAAGAATATTCTTCAGTACTGAAGAATATTCTTCAGTACTGAAGAATATTCTTCAGTATTGAAGAATATTCTTCAGTATTGAAGAATATTCTTCAGTATTGAAGAATATTCTTCAGTATTGAAGAATATTCTTCAGTACTGAAGAATATTCTTCAGTATTGAAGAATATTCTTCAGTACTGAAGAATATTCTTCAGTACTGAAGAATATTCTTCAGTATTGAAGAATATTCTTCAGTATTGAAGAATATTCTTCAGTATTGAAGAATATTCTATTGAAGAATATTCTTCAGTATTGAAGAATATTCTTCAGTATTGAAGAATATTCTTCAGTATTGAAGAATATTCTTCAGTACTGAAGAATATTCTTCAGTACTGAAGAATATTCTTCAGTATTGAAGAATATTCTTCAGTACTGAAGAATATTCTTCAGTACTGAAGAATATTCTTCAGTACTGAAGAATATTCTTCAGTACTGAAGAATATTCTTCAGTACTGAAGAATATTCTTCAGTACTGAAGAATATTCTTCAGTACTGAAGAATATTCTTCAGTACTGAAGAATATTCTTCAGTACTGAAGAATATTCTTCAGTACTGAAGAATATTCTTCAGTACTGAAGAATATTCTTCAGTACTGAAGAATATTCTTCAATACTGAAGAATATTCTTCAATAGAATATTCTTCAATAGAATATTCTTCAATACTGAAGAATATTCTTCAATACTGAAGAATATTCTTCAATACTGAAGAATATTCTTCAATACTGAAGAATATTCTTCAATAGAATATTCTTCAATAGAATATTCTTCAGTACTGAAGAATATTCTTCAGTACTGAAGAATATTCTTCAGTACTGAAGAATATTCTTCAGTACTGAAGAATATTCTTCAGTACTGAAGAATATTCTTCAGTACTGAAGAATATTCTTCAGTACTGAAGAATATTCTTCAGTACTGAAGAATATTCTTCAGTACTGAAGAATATTCTTCAGTACTGAAGAATATTCTTCAGTACTGAAGAATATTCTTCAGTACTGAAGAATATTCTTCAGTACTGAAGAATATTCTTCAGTACTGAAGAATATTCTTCAGTATTGAAGAATATTCTTCAGTATTGAAGAATATTCTTCAGTATTGAAGAATATTCTCATTGAAGAATATTCTTCAGTATTGAAGAATATTCTTCAGTATTGAAGAATATTCTTCAGTATTGAAGAATATTCTTCAGTATTGAAGAATATTCTTCAGTATTGAAGAATATTCTTCAGTATTGAAGAATATTCTTCAGTACTGAAGAATATTCTTCAGTATTGAAGAATATTCTTCAGTACTGAAGAATATTCTTCAGTACTGAAGAATATTCTTCAGTACTGAAGAATATTCTTCAGTACTGAAGAATATTCTTCAGTACTGAAGAATATTCTTCAGTACTGAAGAATATTCTTCAGTACTGAAGAATATTCTTCAGTACTGAAGAATATTCTTCAGTACTGAAGAATATTCTTCAGTACTGAAGAATATTCTTCAGTACTGAAGAATATTCTTCAGTATTGAAGAATATTCTTCAGTATTGAAGAATATTCTTCAGTATTGAAGAATATTCTTCAGTATTGAAGAATATTCTTCAGTATTGAAGAATATTCTTCAGTATTGAAGAATATTCTTCAGTATTGAAGAATATTCTTCAGTATTGAAGATTATTCTTCAGTATTGAAGAATATTCTTCAGTATTGAAGAATATTCTTCAGTATTGAAGAATATTCTTCAGTATTGAAGATTATTCTTCAGTATTGAAGATTATTCTTCAGTACTGGAAGAATATTCTTCAGTAGTCGAAGAATATTCTTCAAGAATATCTGAAGAATATTTCTTCAATATTGATATTCTTCAATATTTCATACTGAAGAATATTTCTTCATATCTGAAGAATATTCTTCAGTACTGAAGAATATTCTTCAGTATTGAAGAATATTCTTCAGTACTGAAGAATATTCTTCAGTATCTGAAGAATATTCTTCAGTATTGAAGAATATTCTTCAGATTAGATATTCTTCATACTGAAGAATATTCTTCATACTGAA